GTGTAGGATTTAGGGTTCAGGATTAAGGGTGTAGGATTTAGGGTTCAGGATTAAGGGTGTAGGATTTAGGGTTCAGGATTAAGGGTGTAGGATTTAGGGTTTAGGATTAAGGGTGTAGGATTTGGGGTGCAGGATTAAGGGTGTAGGATTTAGGGTTTAGGATTAAGGGGTGGTAGGATTTAGGTTTCAGGATTAAGGGTGTAGGATTTTGGGCTTAGGATTAAGGGTGTGGGATTTAGGGTTTTGGATTAAGGGTGTGGGATTCAGGATTTAGGATTAAGGATGTAGAATTTAGGGTTTTGGATCTAGGGTTTGGGGGAGTTTTAGCACTTGCCACCAACCACAAATTGTCACCGCACGGATGATGATGGCAATTCCGCACAAATAAGACCTCTCCTGATTCCTTTCATGCCAAATGCCACTGTTGCAGGGTGGGGCCTGAACCCAAGTTTTAGCAATTACAATACGATGGGGGGGTTCTCAAACATCGCCGTTATTTGCAACCTCATATCCTGAGTCATCCGGCAGAACTCTGCATTTTACCTAGAGCTGAAGGACTGAAATTGTTTGTCCAAGGTTAAGGCATCTCTGGCATCAGCCCGTTTTGAAGAAGGCCCAATTCTTTTTGGTATGTCATCTAAGATCTTATGACTCGCTGCTTTTGGGGCATGGCATGTCTTCCTCCTACCCCTCCCCGAAAACAAGCATCCTTAAAAGAGAATCGCGGGAATTAAGCAGCACCATTTCTGGATTTTGTTCTTGAGTATTGTCTTCGCCTTATGGCACGACAATATGCCTTTCTGCTGCTCAGGCTTAAGGTTTGGTACTCGACGCCGCTGGGTTGTGCAGGGTTGTTTCTCGACATGATGAGACTTTGATAAATCCTCATCACATGGGCCCTGAAAATCGTACATGCCACGAAAACCATGTAAGCAATGAAAATGACACGCTACCCACTCACAACTGTGGGATGCTTCTGTCAAAACCCTCAGAGGTGCCTCTCCGGTCCCGATAAGCTCAAGTTTGGCCAAAACCCAAGCACTTGAAACCCTAGCACTGGAAACCCGAGCACTGGGGGCCTTCGGTGCCTGTGCCGCCCCGGAAGATCGTGGCTCGGCCTCGTCGGCTCAGCTCCTCACAGGCTTGATAGGAGAGGCTGTGATGCACACAGCTATTCCTGAAAAAAATTGGGACTTGTAGAGATTGCGCAGGGACATTTCTCTTTCTAGGGTCTGTTTGGGAATTCCTAGATAAGCGCCTGAACAGCTACCAACATCATTCGGCAATCTTTCTTGCATAGGCGCACGCAAACCCTCCCATTAACACAGAAGTCAAAGCAAAACACCTTCTACCTGTGAAGGCCCCTAAACCACATTGTACACCCTCAACGCGACTGAGCAGGAGCAAAAACTTGATTGTGAAAATGAAGATCCCAACATGTTGGCTAGTTTACTACTGGAGTCATGAACCCTGAATATCCTTGCAGTTCCTCTTCTGTATCTAGTACAAAGCCTTGTAGCCCTTGAGCCTGCAATGCGTGTTTTGCTGGGCACTTGAGGTCCGGCGAGCTCCTGCAAGGCCACCATGATCAGCTCCCTGGGAGCACCGTAGAACTCCTGACCCTGGGGCACTGCACGCATGAGACAAAGGATCCAAAAAGATGGTGTAATCAAGGGAATGGGCAACAATCCTCTGAGCTGGAAGAAGAAGGAGAACAAAACCCTACTAAAGGAGATCTCGCCTGATGGGATGCCTTGACTCTCCCAACAATCTACAACAATCTATACATAATCACATAAGGAAGCCCAAGTTCCGTAATTTAAACATAGGAATCCCTACGTTCCCTTGGCTTCCAGGCAAGGATTGCCTCGGCTGCTTCACCATCGATGAGAGACTGCACTGTCTCTACGCTTCCTTGGCCCACTGCAAGCGGCATTTAGGGTCAAGGGTATAGGGTTGAGAGTTTGTGGCTTAGGGCTGGGGGCTTGGGATTTTGGTTCGGGGCGTAGGGTGTAGGCTTTAAGGTTTTGTTTTACGGTCTGGTTTGTATCAAGTACCCACACTGCCTCATGCACGTGATGCTGGCACCTGCAGGAAAGCCCAACGAAACTACTGCTAGCGTAAAGGCGAGGGTAGGTCTCATGTTTGGAAGGCTTTCCGGCATTCAGTGGTGATCAACATCAGTTGAGACCCCGTCAATAGCACAGTACAAAGTTCGTGGAGCACTTGCAATGCCCTCTCCATTCCTGGCAAAGGCCGTTGGGAACCGGTGCTTACCTAATCCAGAATCCAAGAATCAACTGCCAATTCTAAGAAAAGCTCAGCATACCCCAGGAGCATACCCCTGCAAGAAGTTAACCTTACCCTTTTCACACATCATAATAAGCTTGAGGGCATCAAAATCCTCTCGCAACCACTATGAATCCTGAAATTGAAGTTGCATTAACCCCTTTGATGTTGATTTTATCCCAAAACCCTACTACTCTTCCCACCCACTCCCCAAATGCAGCGTTGGATGCCCATGAGGCCACATTCCGTTGCCCAGCTCAGGATTTGGTCAGCCCAGGCTGAGGGCGAGCGCCAGAAAACGAGAAGTCGATCCTGTGCGAGGCAGGTGCGTCTGTCTACTCTGCAACTGCATGTAGCGAAATAGTATTGTAAGGAAAAACGGGCAAGTACTTGGCAAGAACATGGAGGCCCTGAAATCAAGACACCTCTACACCTGTAGACCAGGCACTGCAGATTTCATGCATGATTTAAGGCTTAAGATTTGGGGTTCTGGACGGTGCATCCAAATTACTCCCTCCAAAGCCCCGTATGCCACAATGTCTTCGGAATTCCCTCACAACAAACAGGCTACTCTCCTTGTAGCACCACAATGCAAATAACATCCCTTAAGCCCTTGAACTCCCTTTGAACCCCTGCAAGAAAAACGTAATGTATTTCCGGGACAGACCTACACTGTTACACCTGCATAAGATTCTATGCAACCTGTGCTTGTCATATGCAGCATCCACGTATGCGATATCCGCCTTAGTACGGGGCTACGCCCTCAGCACTAAGTTTCAGACCCCTCCTCTTGCGGTATATTGTAGTATTGATATTAGGAGGATGGGGGGGAAAAATGAACTTTGGGCCCAGTTACCTTTTGCTTGGCCTCTCCCTCATCGGCCCATGCTGCCGCACCTCTGTCCTGGGCCATATTTTGGACTTCCAAGGATTACAGGAAGGATTAGCGGTACAGTTTGTAGTATTTCAGGTAGGGACTAAGGTTCAAATTTAATGGTGCGGGAATTGGAAGCTTCTTTTGTGAGTGGGATTTGGTACTAGTTGAAGATAAACACTTTTCTCAACATCGACCAGTATCCACAAGATGTGTCGCAACAGCTCTCCTGGCATCGCCTGGTCAGCTTGTAAGAATCGAATTTCTTACAGTAATGCCCAGGAACCCTCCCGTGGGTCACAATGCTTCGCTTTAAACATGTTCTGGATTCTGCATTCCGTTGTCTGCGGGACCATTTCTTATCAAGATTCATGAACAGCCTTCATCACACAGAGCTCAAGGAGTTGGTGACCAGCGTCAATTGAGGATGACTGAGACACTGGACACTGGAATGCAAAGTTCTGCCTTGCTTAGGGCCACCGCGAATCCACTTCTAATCTTCTATTACAGGAGCGTTCAAATGCCCTTGAATGGGTCTTGTCGTCCATTAGCACAAGATGGAAAAATCGTCTTGTCGCTCCGGCCTACGAGAGCTTGGCCTTGAACTCAAGCCGCGGCTTTAACAAACTCTTTGCTTGACTCTTCAGCTCTCAAAGTCAAAACTTTGATCATGCAGCTCCACCAAACCAGGACAGTACCCGTGACGCCCTAACCCAGTTGAAGCCCAACTGTCCCAAGCCCTCCTTGATTGTTGCTACTGTTGATGCAAAAAATCCGGCATGACCCTAGTATACTATCGTACCGATAAAGTACTTAGGGGGTCATGCAGGAGTTCTAGCATCCGCTGTATTTCTAACTGACAGCGCATAGCAAATGCTTGTCACCGAGACCCCAAAATAGCCCCACATCGGCCCCACTGAAACCCCAGCATAAGATCGCAGGTCCACACGCACATATGCACCCCACATACCCTAAACACCAAGCCTTAAACCCTGAAGGCCCTAAAGCCCTCTCAAAGCCCTTTTTGGAAGATCGCCTTGCAGCTGGCGCTGGATCTCTGCATTCCTAAGACTGGAGGGATTAAACAGCTGTAGGGACGCCCGAATGGGCCTAAATGCGGTCGACAAGCTCTGGCTTCAATGTATCCAAGGCTTTTGGTTTTGGCTTTGGCGTGCCATCCAGAAGGTCTTGCACAGCAAGGGCACGCTATCCAAGTCTGATTCAATCTATTTTCAGGGAGGCGAGACTTGGTCAAACCAACGCTTGCGCCACGCCTCCCAGTTCTCCAAGGACCGTTTGCTAGCCAAGGCTCTTGAAGATGGCAGAAGAATCTGACATGTCCAGGATGAAGATCCGATGAAATCTGCAATAGTCAGTCACAAACTGCGTCCACAGCTCCATCTGCTTAGCCCTCACTGTAGCATTCGGCTGCAGTGTGAAGAAGGGAGGCAAGTTGTAAAAGGGCGGAAATTGGAACTCTTTGGCGGGCGCCGCCATTGCTGGACAGGTTCCACTTAATCAAATGCTATGAAATCCGTCTGCCTGCTAGACGCATTACATATGCAGCCCTTCTTGCTGTCATTGCAATATCCTTGGGCCAAAACATACCGCAGCAATTTGCTACAGGTCGCGCTATGCCGCTACGACTGCGGTGGAGTTGGGACCTCATGACAGATGTTCTCCGGGTCTACTTACCCTCTATGGTTCTGAGCGGCCGCGGCGGCGACAGAAGCAGATACTGATGCCCACGTAGCAGGCGGGCTGGGAAAACAAGTGCGGCGCAATGTGAGCTAATTGCACTGCGGGCAAAGTGGTGAAAGCATTGCCAAAGACACCGCGAGCCACTGTTTTCCCTACTGGTGGTCTGAGCTGTACAAGTCTCACACCTTCAGGAAGGTTGGACATTCCCAGCAAGCTAGAAGGTCCAGCAGTATCGGAAACTCCTTCGATTTTGGGACCCCGAGCCCATGCTGCACCTTAAGCCTTCACTCCATCACCATCGGGAGCTGCAAGCTCCTCAAGCTGGACGAGACCGTTTGCGCAGCTTGCTGATGGCAAGGGGTTCAGGTCACAAGGAAGCCCAACAAACACAACGAGACCATCTCGCCCCTCAAACGCAATCATTCTCACGTACACATAGGGTCACGGAAGGGTCTTCAACACTGTCGGGATCAGCAGTCACCTCCCTCACAACAAAACTCCACCCCAAAACGGTAAAACCCAAGCGCAGTACCGTCATACATTGGAAGAAGCATGCTATCAAAGGGACAGGTGGGGCCGTGAAATGTTTGATGCTTTTCTCCGAGGTTCATGCGTGGGGAGAAGTTGGAAGACAAGCATCCTAAACTACATCATAACTGTAGCTCTGGTACATCTGAGCCCAGCTAGAAATACCCGGGAAATTTTGCACTAGATCGCATTCGCTAACGCCATCTTGCTAGGAACAAAGCGCGCTGGACACCACAACCAAAAATCCAGATCCGGAATCTGCAGCCTGACCACACAGACCATCCCTGATCACACTTTCTGACCTGAGACCTGAACGCCCCTCCTCACTGAGCCGCCTCAGCTGATGCGGTCGCGTCTGTCAGGACCAGCTCGCGGATTGCCGGTTCAAGCGACTCCCACTCCTCTTCCACTTGTGTTTCGCTTGTGTAAATGGGTAGTGGACCCCGCGGGTGACAAAAATGCATCGAACCCCCCAGCCCTATGTCCCCAGTGAACACTTGCTCTTCTTGCTGTCAGAAGGTGTGGGTTGCAGTCAACATCGTGCGCTCTTCTCCGAAACCAAACCTACCATCTTGGCATTGGGTTTGGGCTTAACAGCATTCAGAGGGTAAGCCACTGGGCGGGGAGATGGGTGGGGTGTAGAGCTTCCATCCAAAGCATGACATTTGGCATAGCAGGCTTCGGGTAGGGTAAGTCAATCTCTTACTCGGCAGCGGCTATCAACGCGCCTTTAAACATGCCAAGAGCTCTTGTGTGGAGAGTGCACATAGCTAGCTGGGAGTCTTGGAATCCTACCTCATCTGCGACACCCTGGAAATAGGTGAGAGGTTCTGGGATGTCAGAACGGCTCTGAATCCTTGTTTGCCTTATGTTTATGTCATGTTCTGCAGAGCTTGGGGAGCTGGAAGAATCTTCCCGATGGTCCGGTGAAAGCACGACGTTGCTTTCATCACTGCATTCCCATCACTTAGGCTCAGCTGCCATTTTCTTGAGGTGATTTTGCGAGTGTACGACCAACTATTTCCGCTGCACAGGCCAAGAAGAACCAAGGTTGGGGGGGTTGAGTACGACGCAATGGCCGGGTCAGACACACACCACTGTAGAGCTTGGCCAACCGAAGTGTGCCCAAAACCACCACTCCAGAAACAACCACTCAACAAAGAAATGAAACTGCACTACACACATTCATCGTGGATTGTTGGCAAGCCTTCGTACCACAACCCCTGAATCAGCCTGCTTCAATGCGCCTTGGGAATAGGAAGGGCATCTCAAATTTTCTTTTGAGGTAGCAACAAATTGACAGGCTTCAACTGAAAACATCCCTCGTTGGGGACTACAGAAGCAATCAGTGTAGATATAGGATACTTGAAATCAGACTGCGCACCTATCTGGCATTGCTATTCAAGATGCCCAAGAGATGGCAGATTCTCTTATTCTTAGCTACATCCATGACTCCTACCACGGTTTATAATGAGAAAGACTACATGTCATACATGTCACTCCTCCACGCCGACAAGTTCAGCATATTGACTCCTGCCAGGCAGGCGGAAATCGTGTCTCCGCTCATGTTCAGGCATATTCAGACACTGCAATGTGCCCGCGCACGCACGCGAATGGCTCCCCTACCTTGACGTTTACGCCTTGATTCTCCTTTTGAGAGTTGCCACTTCCAAGAAGTTTGAGACCAGACGGTACGCGCTAAGCACTGTCGGTAGTCCTCAGGTGATAGATGCACACGTTGAGCAGCTGATTGGCATTGCAGAAGTAGGCATGCGTAGAGAGCGCAATCAAGTTCTCCGCTGTTAGCAGTTTGCCAAGCTCATGCTCAGTCCACCTCAGCTCCCAATGGGATTGTGCGACTCCTGGGTATGTGCAAAACTCATGGGTCCGCCTCTCTGAGCACTGAGGATCTCACTAGCCTCTGTGGACCCTGGAGCTTAGCACGCGCCATTCGGAATCATTCATGTACAACCTCTGCATACATTGACTCATCCGGTGCCTCCAATAAGAAGCCAATTTGACTGCAAACAGCTACTCTTGGTGCAAGCAAAACAAGTACTGCAGCTGTTAAACAACGCCTGGATGTCTTCAGATTTTCCAAACTGAAAGTTGACACGGCTCTGCTGACAACAGTCCGCGCTTCTGTTGCGCATAATCACCCGGGCTTTCAGGAATCCTGCACGAAGTCCCTGTGACCGTCCTGAAACATTGAAAAAAACCTTTGAAATTCCCTTTTCCAGGGGGCAGCCTAATGTGACAAACATAGCTGAGGATCTTCTTCAGGTGGTTCACATCGTAGAACTCACAGAGTCGAAGCAGACAACACAGGTCCTGTCCGGCCAGCGGCTTTCTGATCAGAGATTTCTCGCAAATAGACGGAATGCAAGGGACATAAAAAAAAAACATGTTGAAGGGTGATATGGGCCACCATGTTTCCTCTAGCTGATTAAGGCTAAGCCAACGAAGGGAATAGCTGCCATGTTCCCAACTCATACTCTCGTCCTCTCCGGTGTCGGTATCCCAGCAGGGCGTTCGATGGGGCGGGCGTTGCGACCTGGCGATCTGGAAAACAGGGCGCAACAGAAAGTAATGGAGCTTGAAGACCCCCATTCAGGCTACCTTGGCGGGAATCACCTCCAATTGGACCGAGGAATCAAGACTGCTACAACACACGACAAGCAGTGATGAGGACATAGACAGGGTACAGTCAAGTGCTAACCCTACATAATCCTTTTCATATGGTAAATTCCATTTTCTTTTCCATGATCCCTATACAACCCCAATACACTAACAGCATAGCTGCTCAAGCTGCTGGAAGAAAACGAGCACAATTATCATCCACAGCCAGGACTAGGTTGCTTACCAAAACTCATCCATCGTAATTGGGAAAACATGAGAACGCTCGATGCAACAAAACATTTGTGACTGACAAAAGTGTGGCCCAGAAGCCGCATCAACTTCTTAATCCAACGCACAACTAGTCCTTGAATTGCACATCAGACGACGTCTTTTTCCCCAAGGATGAAAAGTCACTTAGCCAAGGATTGGCATATCCCTTTTATAACGATATTAAACTACACCCCCAACAACAACCCCCTCCTAATAAATATTTACTAATGAGAGCCTTTATACATTGGGAACATGTTGGAATCAAGGGGGGACGTAACTTTAGTAGGAGGGAATGGGAACAACGGAGATATTGCTACCGAGGACCTCTGGCCCGAAAAATGAGACAATAAGACCCGAAGAATTTCCATTTAAGGTTTAGGGTTTACGGTTTAGGAATTCTATTGGGTTGGACCAAGAATACTCACAAGGGTATGATAAAATTCCCTGTTGCATGTCGAAAAAAAGGGCGTTCCAAAATCTACCCTGCAAATCGCCTCAACAATACAAAATAGCCACGTACCCGACCATTGTGATCTGGGGTATCCTTCGCACCTTCTGGCCGCCACGGCCGCCGGCGCCTCGGAGGCTACGAGGCCGCGATCCAGCCGGTACGCTGCCTTGCAGGGTTCTGGGGTTGTAGGGCTTGGGACTTGAGGCTTAGGTGAAGGGCGCAAGGTACAGTAACACGGGTGTAGGGTTTCCGGCTTGGGGCTAAGTGTCTGACCTTAGACCCTGGGATTCAGGTTTTACAAACGTACAAGATCCGCACCAGAAACCACAAGTAAATTAGAGGTGGAAGCCCCGCTGCCCATGGATCTTTAACTCAGGATCGTTTCCCAATGTGCATTATCTTGGCTGCAGCTTGGTTCAGATCTTGGCTCCCTTGTTGGCCAGGAAGAAAGCAGGCTGGCAACTCTTTAGGCGAGGAATTGGAACTGAATGCTCTGCTGCGCCATCATGCTCGGGCTTTCCTGCGTACATCCTGGCTTCAAGTAAGTATCCCAAACAAGTCCTTTGTCCATCCTATGTGCTGTGGTGGCAGTGCTGAAACGAACAGTGTAGCAGGACAAATGGAAACAAAACCTGAAAACCGCTGGGAGAACCTCCATGTTTCCAACAAACCTTCAGCCAGACACCATAGTTCTTACTGGTTGTTAGTAGGGGATGGAGGAAGGGATCCTTCTAGCAGCCCCTAGGTAATCCACAATAATATAGTCGTTTCAATTTCCTGTCCCATTCCTCCATTCCCTGGTATTTACAACTAACAAGTACCCCACAAACTGCCGCAAACCAATCACAAGTCCTCACATCCGCTGCCTCCTGCGCTTCTCGGGGGTCGAATCCCTGCAATGGGCGTGCAAGGACAGCTGTTGGTAGTACCCATAGCCCCAGGACCTAGCAATAGAAGACAACTCACCGAGCACCCCTTTCATAACCTCAAGATATTGATTGACTGGCGGCATACAGCCCAGAAAGCTCCCGAACCTTCCTCTTGTCAACCATACTTGGCCTCAACTGAAAGCAAGCTCCAAGATCAATACATGTAGGGGTATGTGCACGCTCCTGTTTCCTCCAACCTGCCTCATGATGATGAGCCTCCAGGACTACGAATGAAGACCTTCTTTCGCTCATGAACATGGATATCCTCACCTTTGAATGATAATAAAAATGCCCACATCTTGTTCGCAATGGCTAGGTATCAAAGGTGGGTAGCCTCAGTGCTACAGTGTTGCTGCTGCATCTCCACAAGTAATGTCAAAAAAACCCGTACAACTACGGGCTTGCGTGCATTTTGCTCGGTCAGGCCGATCCAGACATATAAATCCTCGACCTGTGGGGAACCCTCACGATAATCGTTGTTTAAGATCCTGACAAAACTCCCAAGGTGGACGGCTCAAAGATCGTGAACTTCCTTTCATTGGCATGTGAAATGAACTTGCTAGCGTTGTCAGGGATTTGGTTCTGTAACCCGACGCTTAGTGGGTTGTAAGCATTTTATAAGTTGCGGGCAGGTCTACGACTTCCACCGCTATCCAAAAGCATATTCATCCTCAAGTAGCTGGAACCCAAGAAGCTGAGCACATTCCTGATATCCCTGAATTTTTCGTCCAAGTAAAAAGGAGCTTAACTCTTCCTGACAGACTGCTTACAGAGTGATACCTCCCCATGCCTGGTAGAGATAAGCCAGAAGCCTTCAAAGCATGTGGCTGGTGAGGTTTTCTGGTTTCCGAATGCATTTTTCAGCAAGATGGGTCTGCGAATTTAGGAGGGCTTGGAAAACAGACACATGTCTAGCTTTGAGATCACCCAAAAAAGTTCAGAAAACACCCATGCAGTTGCACGGGTCCAACAGCGTCTTGACTTGTGTGGTTCGGTGGGAGAGGGTCTTCTGCTCGGCTTGCCAGCATGCGAACCTGGCTGGGACTGAAAGCAAATTCCCCGTCATCAAGCATTTGCTGGTTAAACCTTCCCACAACCCCAGCGGTAATTCCACAAAATCTGAAGTAAGACCTCTCCTGTGACATATCCAAACTGACCTCTCTGCATGCCTATGAGCACCGACCCGAAACCCAAAGCCTGAAACCCGCCGACTGTCACTCCGAGACGCATAAATTGAAACCCAATATCTTGACACTCAAAGACAATGGCTAGATGCAGCCACAGGGAACCAAAGCAAGGCGCGGGAAGAGACCCAGTCCTGGGTCTTTTGCAAGCAACACTTCTTAAAGCTTCTGAAGATTTAGGTTCTTGTTTCTGCCCAAACTGGCACAACATGCACAGAAAACCTCCATGCACCATCGAATGGCAAAATCCCTGCACAATTACAGGCTTTGACAAAGGTTTTGGGCAGCCCTTGTGCATCAAAACCCCAAGCGCCTGTGCACCTCCACTCGCTGCGCCATTGCTTTGACTACGCCATGTAACAGGTTTGCTCGAGGTCCTTCCTGCACATTGGAACCCCACTAGCTGACTCCAATGGTGACCATGACACATGCAAATGGAAAGAAGGGTTGCATGTGGGAGTGGGAAAGTCTTGGAGCTGCTTGAGACGCACCTCACCTACTAGACCGCCCCTGTAAGTAAATGCAGAAGTAACACACCAACCTCTTCCTATGCAGCACGACTGTGCCCTTTGACCATGTCCTCACAGATTTGGCGCTGCTTTGTGGAGATGCACAACTGGTTTGGAGGTCACTCGGGCCTCCACACAGGACTTTTCAAGCTGCTACTGTGTTCGGCCAAGCTTTCGTCCCGTTGTAGGACTCTTCAGGGCTTGGCAACTGGAAATACT